TTTGATTTTGCTATTTTATATAAGGATCACCATTTTACTGTGCCATTGTATTTAATGGGACGTGAACATCCACTGATTTTGTTATCCATGTTGGGGGGGGGGGTTCCTGGAACCAAACCCCAGCAGATAACAAGGGCCCACTCTATTAAAAATATTTCATAAAGACATACTGCCCTTGTAAAGCAGTTGATCCCAGCTGATTTTTCACCCTTAAGCCCTGATTTCTGTGTATGTGTGTGATAGCTAGACAGTGAAGGAAGCTAACAGGAAGATAATCCACACATTCGGAATGTGATGCTGGAAAATGATGTTTTTATTATTTTCTGCTAAAAAGACAAAATAAATGGATTTGAGAAAAAATCAAGCCTGAATTATCACTAGAAGGCACAATGACATGGAGGCTATCATACCCTGGGTCTTATGAGGGAACATGGCACATTAGAAAAGAAAGATTATAATGCTTGGTAAAATGGGATGCATTGGGACATGGTGGCTCAAGTGGTTAAGACACTGACTCTGTTGATTGCAAGATCAGCAGGTTGGCAGTTCAGGGCGTAGGTGCTGCATGACAGGGTAAGCTCCTGTCACTTGTCCTAGCTTCTGCCAACCTAGTAGTTCGAAAGCATGCAAATACAAGTAGATAAATAGGTACCACTTCAGTGGGAAGGTAAACAGCATTCTGTACAATCATGCTGGCCACATGATCACAGAGTAGTCTCTGACAATGCTGGCTCTAATGGAGATGAGCACCGCCCCCTACAGTCGGACACAACTTGACAACCTTGTCAACGGGGAATAACTTAACCTTTAAAGTGGGAGGCAGTAGGAAAACAGGAAGACTATGGGGCTCTGCTGACGGTGCAAAGCGCCGTCTTGGAGCTAGGGAAGGGGAGGGGCAGCCTGACGGCGGACAGCTCAACCCCTTCCTGAGGACGTCATCAGAGCGCCCACCGTTGCACACGGCGAGAGCTCTGATGACGTTCTTCCGGCGCAGCATTTTTACATGCTGCACTGGAAGAGGTGCAAAAGAGCCATGGGGCAGCACTTGTGGCGCCCTTTCCACAGCTTGGGAAAGGAGTGCTATTTTGGCCCCAATCACCTGAAAGGGTGGATTGGGGCCGAAGCATGGGGCAGCCTTGGCCCCAATCCTCCGCTTCTCAGGGCGGCCCATGGCCACCCATCTGCATCCCCCTTTTTTACAGTTATAGACTTAATCAAGGAAGCCACAACCCTGAGTTTGCAAAATCTAAACAGGGTTGTTGTTGTTGACAGGGTGTCTAGGAGGTTTCCGATTCAAAGGGTCACCATAAGTTGGAGTCATGCCAAACAATGACAACAATAACAACAAAACCTCACAGGACACACCAAAGCCCCAGGACCCCAATTTTCTATCCTCTATGACTGAATAAAGGCCAGAACAAAATTTGGGGTGCATCTGCACTGTAGAAATTGTGCAGTTTGACATCACTTTATGTGCTGTAGCTCCATCCTATGGAATCCTATGATTTGTTGAGTTTTACAAAATCTTTAGCCCTTTCTGCCAAAGAATGCTGGTGCATCAGAAAACTGCACATCCCAGGATTCTGTAGGATGGAGCCATGGCAGTTAAAGTGGTGTCAAACTGCACTATTTCTATAATGTAGATGCACAATATTTTGTGGTCTTTGGATCAATTAGCACATGGATCAGGAAGGATTTAAACAGCCCAGTGCTTAAAAGTGACAGCAGCAAAATTATTTACATATACCTTCTAAAAGGTATATTTCAATTCCTCATCATTGCAGGAATAATTCAGAAATGGTTGTAGCAAAGTGTGTCCTGGCCTAGACCTAGGTGGAGGACATTTTTAAATTTTTAATGATTTTTTATTGTACTTCCCCCCCCCCCCCCTTCATGACAACTGAAGGAAATTTTCCCTTTATCCTCTCACTTTGGAAGCCATATAATCTGAAATTGGTTACATGTATGTGACTTGGTTAGAGAGCCTATGTGTGGTGTAGTGGTTCGGATCTTGGACTAGCCGTAAAGTGCTTCGAACATCTCAGAAAAGCAATACGTAAATAGTTAAATAAATTTATAAAAATGCAACCCTGTCTTTGATGGGAAATCCGGTCACTTTGGGATTTGCCTGGACATATCAAGAGTGGACAATATAATGACTTAACAAGCGTGAGCGTGGAAATCCCCCTGGCAATCTCACCTCATCTACAAACTCAGGAGGTGGCCTTAGGCCAGCTGGTATCTCAGCCTGCTCCTCCTCCACTAGCCTTCCCATCCCAGATGCATTGGAAATAATATTTCTGGTATACCTGAGAGTGTTCTTGTAAGCATGGCTGAGGCAATAATGTAGTTTAAGAGCTCTGAACACTCACCAACATGCTATATAAAATGCTGAGTAGCAGTATTATTATTAGGGTAGGCATTTCAATTGAGAGCCAGGGTGGTGTAATGATTTAAGTGTTGGACTACAATTCTGGAGACCAGAGTTCGAATCCCTGATCAGCTATGGAAACCCACGGAGTGACTATGGGCAAGTCACACTCTCTCAGCCTTAGAGGAAGGCAATGACAACCCCCCCCCAAACGAATCTTGCCAAGAAACCCCTCTGATAGGTTGGTCACCATAAGTCAGAAATTACTTGAAGATGCACAACGACAACGACATGTGAATGTATGCAGGACCAGCCCTACTGAGACAGTCGCCTTAGGCACCTAGTTTTAGGTTTCACATCGCAAATTATTTAACTGCATATAGTTGGATCCAAAGTTATTGATTATATTATAATTCTGTGTTTAACTGTCAGGAAGAGGCACTTTGAGGATTTTCTGTCCTAGGTACAAAAATAACTTGATGAATGTTTGAATCCATGGATAAAAAATATTTAATATTTTAATACACCTTGAGTTTGTTGTTGTGTGCCTTCAAGTCATTTCCAACTTATGGTGACCCTAAGGCAAACCTATCACAGGGTTTTCTTGGCAAGTTTCTTCAGAGAGGGGTTGCCACGGACAACTTCTGAGGCTGAGAGAGTGTGATTTGCCCAGAGTCGCCCAGTGGGTTTTGATGGCCAAGCCAGGATTCAAACCCTGGTCTCTACAGTCATAGTCCAATGCTCAGTCACATCAGGAGTAGTGGGGGGGGGGGGGGGAGATGCAATTTGTAGTTCTGCCTCAGGCAGCAAAATATCATCAGGCAGTGTTGAGGGAAAGGCAAAAGATCTGAACCCCCAGTATATCTATCTGCTGCCCAACAAATGATCTTGCATATTATATATTTCCATAGAAGACAGATGGACAAATAGATTAGATTAGATTAGATTAGAATATAATAGATTAGATTAGATTGAGAGGAACTTGAAACTCCTTGATGCATGTAAGTGATGACAGGGATGATGCAGCTGAGCAATGGTTGTACATTATTGCTGCTAAGTTTCACAACATGGAGTGAGGGAGGCTATTCACAGGAAGAGTGTGTCTGCATTCGTGCCTCCGAGTGTGTGTACGTGTGTGTGCGAGAGAGAGAGAGAAAGGGAGATAACATATGATAATCACTGTTGTTGGAGGCCTGGTATGTTTTGGTTTATGACAGCTAATAGAAATGCCTGTAAATTTCCATTAGAGGAGATTTTCAAACTTTTCTTTCATAGCTTTCTAGAGACTAATAAAACTGATTCATGAATCTAGCTCCTCTCTCATTTGCTCATCAAGGTACCCACCTCCACTGGATTCCTCTTACGCCAAGACTCTGTTGAAATGTCAACGAAGACTACTTGCACAGAAAAATACTGGGGAAACATTTTATGGTCACCAATTGCTCATAGTCCCTGCAATGCTGTTGTGCTTATAGGGGATAAGAGGCACTGATGAACCTACGAAGGGGAAAGTAATCTCTATTTAATGGTGTGCTTTCTTGGCTTACGGTGACTGATACACATTTATTGAAGCTTGCTGTCTTAATGTTTTAATGGTTTTTACTGGGTTTTACTATGTTGTTTTTAACTTAAATAATAATAAGTATTTTAATAATTATATTTAATAATAATTTAATAATAATAATAATAAGTTAATAACTTATTATTAATATTTTAATAATAGTAATATTTACTTATCTTTTAATTTTTGTTATCAATGTTTTAGTTCTCTCTTTTTAAATTATTGTAATCACCTTGAATCCTATTGTGGGAGAAAGGCAGGATATTGATCCTTGAAAAAAAAATCCTTAAATAAATAAAATAATCTCGAAAATACTGTCTGGTAAATCTCACCCCCCACTGTGCCCCAAAACATTTTTCTTCCAAGGAATGATGAAATTTGCTGAGGATCCCTTTGGTACCTTTCAGTGGATTCTGGTATACTGCAGTGGATTCTGGGACATGCATTCAGGGCCAAATAGACACCATGAATAGGGTTGGTTTAAGAATGTAGGTAGTGCCTGCAGTCCCCAAATAACTTGTTTTAGTGCATTCAATTGCTGTTTTGTTCTTATTTCAAGGGAAAACTGGTTGTAGCCAGGCAAATAACATAATAATGGGGAAGACTGGGATATTTTGTGAGGCAAGAACTGGCTCAGCCTGAGACAAATAATAATGTGATTTTTTATTGCTTTGCAAAGTGCATATCATAGCACAATACGGACAAAACAGGACCATGAATGACAGAAGAGTTGAACTGGATTATTATTTTATTTATTAACATCCATACAAACACACACACATACACGAGAACAGTCAAGGAAGAAAAAAGTCACTTTAAAAATCTGTCACATTTTGAAAGCAGGAAGAACAATGCCTCCTTTTCTGAATTGTTGTTAAGTACAGCTGTAAAGTGCTTTGAACATCTCCGAAAAGCAATACGTAAATAGTTAAATAAATTTATAAAAATGCAACCCT